TTATTTTGTATATCTCATATTTAAAGTGCATATTTTATTTATTTTTTGCTCATTTTGTATATATGTTCTTATTTTGTGATTGTGTTCTTATTTTATCATTATTTTTGTTTATTTTTCATTGATTTCCTTATTTTGTACATGTATTCTAACTGATTTCATTATTTTGTAGATCTGTTCTTCGAATCGTTCTATTCGTTAGCTTCTTATAAGCAAGAGTATCATCCACGAATACCATCAAACCTTCAAAATATATGGTTGTGGGATGTTTGTTTGCTTTTGTTATTAACTTATTTATCTCTTCATCATATCTTGCTTTTATCATTTTCTCTTATTAGTTGCAGTTTGGTTATCCCTTTAAGTTTTCTCTCTCTTAATCTCTAATTTTATTTATATATCTTTTATTCAAAGATTCACTACTTTTCTACAACATATTTATCTCTTCATCATATTTTACCATAATCATTTTCTATTTTCATTTGCATTTTGATTATCCCTTCACAACATCTTCACATATTTTCATTTTTTTTTTTGCATGTTGTTATAAACACCTAGAATATATTCTCCTCTTAAATTTCTTTTGATTTAAGTTTCATCCTCATATGTGATATTTGATTATGTGTCTTTCAATAAATAAAATGTCAAAAATATAAAGTTTTTCATTGTTCTAAAAAGAAATGTGCAACTGTTCATGAAAGTAAACATAATCATATTTTTTTACCTTTGAGTCTATGTTATGGTTAAAACAAAAATTTATTGTTATTTAATTAAAATATACTATGAGTATATTTTTCTACATTTTATACTTTCATTGAATTTATTAACCATTACATATGTTATATTTATTAAAAAATGACACCATAATTTTTAAATACCTCAAAAACCCTAATGTTTGGATTTTCAATGGATCATTTCTCATGTCACATAAGTGAATTTTATTAATTGTTAATTAAAGATAATAAAATTTCATAAATTCTAACATATTGTGTTCTTTTCATTTTAACATAATGGTCATTTATATGAATTATGGATAATTATGGAATAATAACGGTTGGAGAGATTTACTCTCGAGATTTAAGAGTAATTAATGTGAATAATGAAAAATAAAACATAATAGAATAACAATAAAGGAAATTCATAAGGGAATAGAAACTACATAGGTGAATAATGACAATAAATTTTGTTATACTATTGTAATTTGTAATTGAATAAGTGAATAAATATCGATAGCGTTGAATAAATATCGTCGATCAGTTGCAAACTAATAATTAATAATTACTTTGAATAAATAACGTTGACCATTAAGAAAGAAATAAAACTGCTGAATATAAGGGAATAAAAACACATATTGTCATTTAATGTGGTGGTTATTGGTGAGATCGATGATGATATTCAAGTTGAAAAATAATGTATAGTAATCACTACATGCGCAAATTAGTATGTGTGCTTTATTTTAAAAAAACTAAAAATTAAATATAATGTTTTCATTTCCATTTATTAATATTGTTCATACATTTCCATTATTATCTTTAAAATATTTTAGCAGTTTTGATCCTAAATAATTAAAGCCTTCATTATTTTGAAAAAGAATTGAACTATATAATTACAATGTTTCTATTTCAATGATTATTTATTACTAAAATTTCATTTCTATCTATTAAATATTATTATCAAAGTTGTCATACTAAATCTGTATTTATTTTGAGAAAAAAAATATAAGTAATTAATTAAAATTTTCGTTTTTGTATACTTTTTAAAAAAAATATGAAATAATAAACCAATTATACTAAAAACTAATAAGAAATAATATTCTAGAAATAAAAGAAATTATAAACAAGTTACATTAAGAAATAATCACAATAAATCATAAAACTAAACAAGTTCTCCATATGTAAGTCTATATTAAGAATGATAAATATAAGTTTTTATTGTATTTATTAGTTAACAAAATAATATGAAAATCGATAAAAAAAAGTACAAAAGTATATAGCTAACATGTTTTCACGAAACCATGCAAACGTACAAATAGCGTGTATGTTCTTAACCATATGAATACACATATAATGTGTATTCTTAATCATACGACAAAAAAATATCGTTCCGTGTAAAATAGTGACATATGTCACAAAAAGATACTTTATTAATATTTCTGAAAGGAAATAAATCTTACGTATAATTTTAAATAAGAATAGAATATAATTTTAAATAACAATAGACAATGTAAATCAGCAATTTAATATATTTATATTTGTGAATCAGATTTACTTGAATGCTATTAATACATCCCTCCCTATACAGTTTCAAAATAATTTGGGTATAAATTAGGAGTTAGATGGATGAAATGTTTAAACTCAAGAAGCATAGATATTGAATAAAATGATGATGGAGAAAAGAGTGGGAAGTATTTTGTTGACAATGATGATTATGAGTATGTTAGATGGAACATCAAATGCAAATCAAATAAATGATATAACATGTGGTGAGGCTCAACTACTTATATTGCCTTGTGTTCCATATTTGCAAGGATCTGGTTCTGCAAAACCTTCTGGTTCTTGTTGCTCATCAGCTAAAACAGTTTTCAAAAGAGCCACATCTACTCAAAATCGAAGGGCTCTTTGTCAATGTTTCAAAGATGCTGCTCCAATAATTGGTGTTAATCCTAGCCGATCCAAATTACTCCCAAAATTATGCAACATTCGTTTATCATTTCCTCTCAACCCTAGCATTAATTGCACCTCGTAACTCCCTCTTCCATACTCTTACTCATTAACTACTATTTTTAATTATTTTTTTCTTAACATATATTATATTTATTTTTTTGCAGTATTCCATTTTGATGCTTCCAACACTACCGATGCTTATACAGAAGCTTAAGTTGAAGAGTTGCATACATTTGTAAAACAACAATTTCGATATACATAATAAAGAGTTGTCTATTTTTAATTTATGATGAGTTTTTCTCTTATCTTTTTATATAATGAGCGTTGTTGTTTTACGTATCTAGTGTAGTGCATGTTGGGTTTAAAGGTTCTTTTTATATAACGTTTGTCACTCTAATATCCGCACTTGGGTTACTGAGCTAAGCTTAATTATTGAAATATACTAATAACAAATATGTTGATTAAGTTTAATGGTGAATCTAAAAGCTATACGTAAATTCAGACAATGTTAATTTGCTCAATCCTACCAATAACATGCGTGATATTATTATGAAGATTCATACCTTATACTTACAAAAATATATTCCACAATAATTTTCTCTATTTTGCTGGGTTCTAGAGGATAATTGGTTTTTACATTGTAATATTGTTTAATTTCAGGTGGATAATAACTGGACATTCAATTATAATTTTTATTTGAATAATTAATGTTATTTGTTTATTTTTGTATTATTCACAAATTTACATAAATATATATTTTTATTTGAAATCATGAAATAAGTTTAAATTGCAATGCAATTATATTTGAATTCATATTAAAATGGAATAGGCACTCAATTTAAACTCGTTTCATCAAATATAGTATCCAAGGAGAATATAATTTTGCTAACTTGGGCGGTCGATATTAGTACAAAAGTAAATATTTGTTATTGGGTTTTATGAAGAAGAAAAATGTCCACCTTATATTTTTTATATGATAAATGGTTTTTTGTTTATATAAAAAGCTACCCATTTTCTATCCTTATCCCATGATAAACAATTTCAAAATAAAATTATTAATGAAATAGTAATTAATATATTTTTCAGGGATAATTAATAATTTATAAATATTTTTCGTGGGTCTCTCAAAACTTCTTCCACAGAACAATTTAGTACCTTGAAAATTTGATTCAACTGATGAAGTAAAAGGTTTATATAATAACCGCTTTGACACATGGAAGAAAAAATCAGGTATAATTTAGTAATTTTATTTTCCAAGCAAAATTTAAAACATTTTAAGATCCTTTTAAAAAAATCAAAGACTAATTTGAGTTGCGAAAAAATATTAATGCTTAAATTTAGTTTAAATAAATATGTATTTATAGTGAGAGATGATAAATGATATTCGCAGTAAAGTAATAAACTAAGCAAAATATATCGTCATTTTAATTTTTCCTTTGCTCTATTTGGCTAAGATCAGTAAGGAGGTGTTTTTAATTTGATGCTACCTTACTATATATAAAATAATTCTTTAATATTTTAATATAAGGTAAAGTTGTTCTATATATTATCCGGACTAAATAATTAGTATAAATATTTAATAAAATAAAATGTATTTATTAATAGTGTATGAATTTTATACAATATTATTATATTATTTATCATTCATGTTTAATTATCATCGCATACATATTACATTCATATATAATTGTGTTTATATATTAATTATAATTATTCAATATAATAAATTATGAAATTTAATATAAATTAATATCGATAAATGCAACACCACATTATTGGGTGGTGGTTATGCATTACGAATTCAATTTTGATAATGCAAAATTACATAAATTCAAACATCTGACCCAATATCCCATTATGTCTAGTATATATAGTCAAACAAGAAATGTTTGCTGGGTTCCTTCAAGATGAATGCATTAGTGTTTTCTTGGTTAGCAACAACCAAAATCACAAAACCTATTGCGCAAGGAATTGTATCCTAACAAGGAGAAGAGGTTAAAGAGGAAGGAGGGTTCAGACAGATTTAGAAGATAATTGCGAGGATTGACAACCCAGTCGAGGTAGGACATTACTAATCTACCCTTTTTCTGATGATCCAAAGCTAGGACTTTACTTTTGCACACCTCCTAGTGCACGGATGTCTCAGTTGAGTTAAGGATGATATCATTCCTAGCAAGTTAGATAGACCAAATTGTTGCAAGCTAAATAATACTCCTGAACTTGTAACACTTTTCTAACACTAGTTTTATGAAACAAGTAATAACTGTAACAAATTCAGCAGAGTCCAGGCATTAAAATCAAGCTTTGTCCTCAATACCAGCCCTAACTGAACACTTCTCCAAACTTTGCTCCATCAGGCTTTCGCCCATTGCGGAAAATTCCCCACTGCTGCCTCCCATAGGAGTCTAGGTCGTGTCTCAGTCCCAGTGTGGCTGGTCATCCTCTCGGACCAGCTACTGATCATCGCCTTGGTAAGCACTAAACTTGGTTCATAAACAATACTTAGAACCCACCCTTCTTAGGAACAACAACATCTGGTTAATAATATTATTACTTCATTAACTTTCATGTAAACAGAAAGATATACCCTGGAATATCTCATTACAACATAAAGACATTCACGGTAGCCAAACAGTCCAATGCCAAAAATGGTATAAGTCATGAATGAATATCAGCAGTTTTCACTAATTTTGCATTTAAACTTAAAGGTGCATTTTTGCAATGCTTTGTCAACGAACATGACTTATGGTACACTATTATGGCCTTATTCATACCATGTAACCGACCCCATCAAGTGAGATAAAGGCTTGGTTGTTATTATTGTGCTAGTATATTTGCATTTTTCTTGTTCAGAGTTTCAGTTTTTGTACATGTCTACCTCTGCTACTGATATTTGTAGGAGATTTATAGTAAATAATACAGTGAGTCAGATCATTCTGCTCTAGTTTTCAATCAAAGTAGCAGTAGATAACTATCAAAATCAATCCTGTGGTTTTATGTTATTTGGAGATTATTTTTCGTATTTTTTCCTTTACTGTCCAGGGCATGCAGATTGAAGAGTTTGGAGACTAGGTGCAATGATACCTAACTCACTGTACATTGATAACCGCAGAGAATTGAAATTTTCGAGCCCTTTCCGCGCATCTTCCTCATCCTCATGGTCTTCTTCCTCACATTAAAACACAACCCCCTTTCTCTTTTTTCACTCATCTCTGCACTAGTTAGTCTTTTATAATTCTCTCTACTCTTAAAGCTTTCAGCTTCCGGATTCTTCCTAGCAGCCCCGGTTACACTCCCCACAGACGATGTTTCTTTCTTCCGAGTGATGACCGATTGGGGGTTCACCGTTACTACCTTATTGTACGTATTGGCTCGGAAAGACCTCAAAGGTTTGGTATAACTGTTATTAGACTTCTTAGTCACTACCAAATTCTTTTGTTCAATGAGAATGGCCTTCTGAATTACCTCCTGTAAAGTCTCTAACTCGTACACCTCACTTCTACCCTTATTTCTTCCTTCAGCCCGTTAAGGAATATACCCTTAACGAAATCTTGGTTAATCTCTTATTCTCTTTCAAGGCTCCCGCATATTTCTCAAACTCTTCCACATAAGCCTCAACACTCCCTTCTTGCTTCAAAGACAGCAACAATTCAAAGGGGTTATGTATCATTGAAGGTTGGAAACGTCTCACAACGGCAATCTTGAAACTTTCCCATGTTGGAGATGGGTTGCAACGTTCCCACCACTGATACCAACTTAGGGCTCTGCCTTCCAAAGCTACCATGGTCCATGGTGACTTGCATCCTTTCTTCCTCTGATATGAATCTCTAGCTTACACCAACCATATGCATCCTCACCAAGAAAGATAGGAATCTCTAGCTTACGCCACCTATCATGATTTTGATGTGTTTTGTGGCTTTGGTGGCTCTTGTAGCTTAGCATCTCTCCTGTATTCTTGGTACGTGCCTCATTAAGTTCTAAGCGTAAACGAAGCTCCTCTCTTTCTTGCCTCATCTCTTCACGTCCTTGCACCCAACTATCGTTTTCTCTTGCCATGCTTCGTGTAGCCACAATCACGTTGAAGCTGGTGGTTCTCACCTCCCCTCAGGCACCAAGATTGGTGCTCTGATACCAGTGATAACACTGGTATGGACAGCAAGAAAAGAAAGAATCGCAAGATGTATGAATAATGCCTCAAACCAGAATTAGTGTGATTCTTGGTTAGATTGTGTATCGATTGAATTATTGGGAATGTGTGTTACAAGAGTGGTGAATTCACAACAAGTTCCTCGACCTCTTATCTGGTTCCACAACCAGAATGTAATTCCTAATCTCCTCCCCCTCTTCCCTAGGGGTTATTCCCTATTAATAGTTCTAACTACCAACTAACTACTAGGGGCACTTTTGGAAGTTTTTAACCAAACTTTCTTATTAACCCTTCTATATACATTTTTAATACTAGGTCTTGACCTAGTCTTAACATATTAACATTCAAATTCAATATAACACTTAGAAGTTAAAGCCTCTAACGCTTAAAAGTAAACAAGTAGAGTGCTTCGAAGAATGGTGAAGAAAAACACAAACAGAGAAGACTGCCTCTCATACACATAAGAAGAACCCAGAACAAGAAAGTATTTAAATATATATATATATATAATGGAATGTGCTAAGGTGTGTGGTATAGTTAGACATGTATTTAGTGGATCACAAGGATTTTCTGAAGACAACTCTGTAGCAGGTGTACATAAGACAAAAGGCACCACTTAGAAATAAATAATGCTACTCTAAAGCTAAAACGAAATGCACCACATAGAAATCCCTATGCCCCAATATAACAAAAAACACCACATAGCTTATACCCATAGCAGATTATACCCCAAAATGATCAAATATTAACAGAACACACCAAATAACATATACTGAATCCCAAACATAATATATAACGGCAATGGATACAAAAAACATTAATAGGTATGGGTATATAGTTACTTACTGGAAAATCCCAAAACATAACAGAAAATAGAGAATGATGATGAAGCAAATGGAGAAACAAAGAAGTAGCAGAACACAACAGCAGGGACACGAAAATTCCAGTTGCATTTTTGAAAATTCCGCCAACGTCCCTGTAGTGGGCATTTCTCTCTGGCACTCTGCAAAACCGTGATTCCAGTTCCAAAAGCGGGCCATGGCCACTGGAAAAAGCATTGCAGAGGCCTTCAGATCCTGCTCCACAAACCTCTACTGCATGCTATAGTGGCATGATCGACTACTTAGCTATATGCATTTAAATAAAGAATAACAAAAGGATAGTTCCACCTAGAAGATGAATATTAGACACTTCTCACTCACTAGCCGTGATAAACAGACCGAATAAGACACATACTAAGTTGTCCAGGATTTTTTGTTCATTTCAGTGTTGCCCCGATATTAAAGAGGGTTAAGGACATTGAAGGGATGAACTTGAAACAGAATCAATGCCTTCTGTCACAACTGATAATTGTAACTGACATTCTCAGAAGTGAGGAGAGAGAGATCAGAAACCAATAATCAACTCTTTTATCGAAATTCCAACTGGATCCCCCCCCCCCCCCCTTCCTGGCTAGAGACGCCTTTCACTAAAGTCGAGAAATATTATAATATTCAATAATCTTTGCTTCAAAGGCTGAACACTGAATACTCAACTTGCATGCCTCTTCCCAATAAGGAGGTCACTAAAGTAATTAAATTACAAAATATGACACGGAACAAAAAACTTGACTGGAAATAGACCCTTGCTGTAACCAATCCTACAGTCAACTGGACTTAGCTATAGCTTGTACAGGAATTGGCTGGAAAATACATTACTACTATTAAAAAATGTCTAAGATGTAAATTCAATAAAGGTTTTAAATTGTGACTACCACCGCAATCATTTTGGTAGTCCCGCAGCTGCAATTGTGACTACACCAGCCATATTTTCTTGTAAATGCTATGTAACAGCAACTACATACACAATTTAGAGCCATGGATTCAATCTCAATCATCATAGGAAAGAAATAAACTTCAAATCCAAATAGATTGTTTCAAGTATTCAATTGCAATCTAATGATAACTGAAAAACTTCTATTTGGGTGATAACCGTCAGTAACATAAGAAGAGCAGTAATGAGAAAAAACACTACTAGGCTACTGTTAAACAAGGATTGGCTCTAACACCTTATTCAAATGAAAACATATACACACAGCAAAACATCAATATTCAACAATACAATCTATCATTGTTTTACACTATTCCAATATTCGATCCATTACATGATAAAGAAATTCAACTTACAAATCGAATCCATGTCTCTGTGGGAAGATACTCCCTATATCATACATCCAAATTTTCCATCTGAATGCTGCTCTTGAGAGGCACATATTCTCCAAGGTAGCCACCAAGATGATCATGTAAAGCACTCTTATCAATCCCTTGATGATGGTAACTCTTGCAAACATAGTAGAACACACTCTGCACCAACAACCCCACCAGATTCACAATCACCAACACACCAACCAATAACCCACCAACCACAATTCTTGCAAAAACTCCATAATTATCTCCACCATGCACCACAACCCTACTGAAAACCCCTCCAATAATTCCACAAATAACCAAATAACCACCCACCAAGATAGCAGCATACTTAGCCCTACCCTTCAACAACTCACAGCTCTTCTTCATAGCAGCATACCCATAAACAGGCTCCAACACAGACACCACACTAGCCAAGTGCCACAAAGCAGAGATGTAAACATGAACAACAAGAAACAACAAGAGGATCACAACAATGGAAAAGAGAAGCAATAAGGAGTTATCAGTATCAATTGCTACAATAAGAAGGAAGAGTGAAAGCACAAAGACAAAGTTGTAAGCAAACATCAAAAGGGTCACATAGAGAAAAGTGATGAACAAACGTTTGAAAACTCTTGGAATAGCAGAAAGAGTGGATGAAAAGGAAACAGCTTTGGATGTATAAAGTGATGCCACAGTGAAAACAACAGCTGCAGTGGACAATAGAGAAAATGCAAAGAGAAAAATGAGGTAACAGAACTGAAACACAAGAAGAAGGGTCCATTCATGAGTGGTTTGAGAAGGGTCTGCATAAGGGGATTGAAGTTGTGCCAAAATAGGGTGTGTGAAGAGAGAGTGCGCCAAGATTGCAAAAGATAAAGGGAAAATAAGGGTAAGGGTGATTAGATAGAAGGTTTTTGGGGATCTTTTTGGGATTGAAATTGATTCTCTTAAGATTTCTGGGATTGCTAAGAATTGAAGCTCTTCTTGTGCAAGATCCATTTTTTTTTTTTTTTGCTTATACTTCTGATCTAGTTTTGGTTTCAAAGATTGAAATAAGAAAAGAATCAAACTTTGGATTGAGGTTGTGGATTTGAGATGTTCTTCTTTGTTTCTAATGATTTTCTTTCAAAATGGTTCTATATTTTGTTATCAAAAGACACGTTTTTTGGTGTTATATATACATTGCTTTTAGATCCAGATGGCGATTTTTGACCATTCCATCACATACTTCATTGTTTCTTTATACAAGATATTACTTAATACTTA